CATATATTTAATTATTTAGGTTTTGGTTATTTGATGAATGCTGCAACAAAACGTGCACTAACTGCTGAAGGTTTTAAAGATAAAAATCCATTTCGTTTTTCTGATATTTTCATGACTGGCATTATACCTGATCGTCTAAATTTTGTATGTGAAATTATGCCATTTATTATTCATCAAGGTACAATGGAGCAATGTATGGGATTTGTAAAAAATAATTCGGTAGAAAATCCTCCACCATCTACTACACCACTTCTCGTGTGTTCAACTGGTCGTCATTTAGGAAATAATGCATTCTCGGATTATTATAGAATGTGGACAGCTCTTAAACTTATCTATGCTAATAGATTAAAACCAAAAAATCAATAATTCTATTCAATTATAAATTGATAATTACATTTATTTATGTTTTTTCATGTGTTACAAAATTAAAATAAAAAAAATACATATATAGCTTATACAAGAAAATAAAACAATATCGGTTCAAAAATAAATCTTTTTACATAATTATATACAATATAGTTAAAACAAAAAAGTTAAGATTAAAATTGAATTATTCATCCATGGTATCATCATTATCATCATCAGTACTATCTGCATTAACAGAATTATTTTGACTTGATGAAGTTGATTTTTTGCCTTTCGAACTGTGACTTTTCTTCTTTGATTGAAGTAATACCTTATTAAAAAGAAATACATACATATAGATATTCAAAGATTAAGAAATATTTCACAAACTTCATGAAGATTAGGTAAAACACCACCTTCAGCAATAGTTACATTTTCACATAATTTATTCTAAAAATTAAAAATTATTTTTTAATACAATTGATATGAAAATAGTTTATCTTACTAATTCTTCATCATTACGAATGCCTAAACAGACATGACGTGGTGTAATACGACGTTTTTTATCATCTCGAGCAGCATTACCTGCTAATTCACACACTTCAGCAACCTATAATACGAAAAGAATAAATAATTCAGTAATCTATAATTATTCACATACCAAATATTCAAGTACGCCGGCCATATACACAGCAGCACCATCACGGATTTGTTTAGCATAACGACCTTCTTTTAAAGTACGATGAATACGATGAACAGGAAAGACAACACCCTAATAAACAAAAATATCGTAATCATTGACGAAAAAAAAATACTACTTACAGCTCGTTTTGAACGTCGCATAGGTTTAAAACGTGAATCATCAACAGTAGTACGTTGACTATTACTCGTTTTGTCTATGTTATTATTTATATCTGTAGATTGTTGTTGTTGTTGTTGATTATTATTATTTTTTGTAGTACCTGATGATGTATTAGTTCCATTATTATTGTTATTCTGTGATGCCATGGTAGATAAAATTATTATTTAAAAATGAAAAATGTAAGTTAGAAATAAAATGTTGATAGTAAATACAGAATGTCGAAAAATCGCATCTATTTATAGAGAAAACGAAAGGAAAGTTCAAAGCGTACATATTAACATATACGACCAGTTTTGAAAGAAGAATTTATTCAACATCGGCCGTCTGATTGTTTATAGTCTCGACTAGATGATTTTGTATGGTAGTTATTTCTCGTTTATTTAATATGAAAAGTACAAGAAAACGAATAAAAAAACAAATATAGTATAATATACATAGTTATATACAGCATAATATAATGAACTGAAAGACGAAATAAGCAGTAAAGAAAACAAATTAGATAAGAATGTATTTTCATGATAAAATAAATGGATGTTGAATAAATGTTTGTGTTTGTAGAAGATTTGTAAATAGTTGTTCATGATCATTTAATGTTTTTTGCATATCAGTAGCTGATGAATGACATTTAAATGTATATATTTCATAAAGACATTCAAGTAAACGATTCCATTGTTTTAAATCACACGTATGTACTCGTGTATAACAATGTTCAAGATAATAAACAAGTAACTAAAAAGAAAAACAATTCCTTTTATTATATTAATGAATTCGTTTTTATATCCTAACTTGCATCTGTGTTCCAAATAATACAATTGGATTATCGATTTGAGGTAGATCTTTAATTGTAAAATGGCAAACACGTGATAAACGTTCAAGAAATGATAATTCTCGTTCATCAAAAAATTTTTGAATTTCTAATTCATTATTATTTGTATCACGATATTGTTGTTGACAATAATGTGTAAGATATTCTAAATCAATAAATTCTGTTATAAAACCAATCGGACGTTGTCGAAATTTTTTTATTAAAAATTCATAAATTAATTTTAATTTTTGTATATAATTAAAACGTTGCATATATGAAAGATTCTTTTGTCTTGATAATGCACGTAAATTAGAAAATTTTTTTAATTCAATTTCATATTGTGGCATATTAGATCGATCATAAGAACAAAGTAAACATCGACAAGAATTTATACCAAATTGACGTAAATAATATGTGCGTTCATTTATTGATGATATCCATAATGGACAATAAGAAATAGTTAATTCATCACCTTGTCGAATATTTGATGCACAAACATAAATAAATAGAAAATCTCCAATAAGATACCATAAACATTTAGGTAAACAAGAATGATTAAACATAGAACCAATTTGATACCAACCAAGTGTTGATTTTGAACTGAATGGATTTTGTTTTTGAGTTTCAAAAAGAATACGCCATGGTATATTGGATGATGGGGGTGATACTCGTCTATAAATAAAGAATGAAAAATAGAGAAACAACACCCACAGTCTTACTTAGAAAATATTGTTTCATCATTTTCTTCTTTATTCAATTCTTTATCAGTTTTTAATTGACTTAACCATTGTCGAATTGGTTGTATTAGTTTAAGTTTATTAAATGTTTTCCAGCTTGTATTACCAATTAATAATTGTTTTTCAACTTCATTTAATAAACGTAATATATCATCATTATAATAATCAATATCACAAGTTTTATTATTTGTTTGTGAAAAATTAATTGAATGATAACGTTGTTCATTAGTAATTCTATTATCAATACTAGCAAATGGTTGTTCAACAACTAATAAAGTACCTGCTTCAATATTTTTCAAAGCATAAACACCATAAGAACCTTTTGGATATCCATTTTTAGTTAATTCCTCAGGCTAAATATAAATGAAATTCAAAAAAAAAAGATAAAATCAGAATTCTTTACTTGACATGGTCGTATTTCGAAAAGATCATTTCGATTACATTCACTATGATAATGTGGTAAATCAATAAACATTATTGAAGGTTTATCATTTTTATTTATTGCAATTTGTTCACGTAGCATTCCTTGAATATCATATTTTCCTTTGATACTTTCATCTCGAAGTCTTATTAATTCACGTTCAAGTATACCTATCGATGCTAAAACTTGTCCATTAATTACATTCGTACCAAATTTATGTGATTTTATAAGACTTTCAACTTTATCAAATAAACCTAAATAAAGATGAGCACTAAGACAACGATAAAGAAGTTTGCCAGCAGTTGTTTTAGGTGATTCAAATACATGTGATAATTCATCAATTGATAAAAGTATACTTGTATCAGCTAATGCTAAAGCAGCATGACGTTCACGTAAATAACAAGCACATCGATTAGATAATAGACGAATACGATGTTGTTGATGTTGTTGTTCATCTATTTTTCCTTTTGATGTTGATTGTTTTTCATATTGTTCATCAATTTGTCTTAAACCATATGTATAAAATTCCGTAGCACTAAGATTATCATCAGCTTGATAACATGTATTACCTAATTCACGTAATTGATCAACATTTGTTCGATGATTTGCTAAACATCGTGTTTCAAAATCAATCATTAATAAATGTGTATTTGGTGATTCACAACGTAATGCTATATCACCATCTTGACACATTTTTAACCATGGATCTAATAAAACAATACAAGAATTTATTGGTAAAAGACATCTTAAACGTTCTTGAATATAATTATATGATTTAGTTTGTCGAGTATTAATAACATGAGACCAATTATAAATTGATAAACGAAGGCAATGTGCATTTTCATCTTGTACAACAACATGTACAGCATAAGGAGTCCATATAGGTGCAGAAATTATTTTAAGAGGTAAACGACTATTTAAATGAACATGATTAATACGAAGAAGATTAATTTTTAATTGTCTTGCCATTTCCATACGATCCATCTAATAAAGAAAAAATAAATATAATTTATTCATTACCGGATAACCTGATATTTCTCTATTAACCTGATCAGAAAATGGATCAGCTGCTAATGAAATCATTCGATATTGTAATTGTGCTTGAAGATTAGTTTTGGTAAAACAATATGGTAAATTATCTATCGTATCAAATGTTTTCAATATTTGATTTGCAAATATATCATGTTTTTCAAGTATAATTGATTTTTCTACTGGCGTAGAATAAATTCCATGTTCTTGTGCATTTACTTTTGTATTGATTAGAAATAATTTTGAAAGAATATTTGAATGTATTAATTTACGACAACGTTTAGATTTTGAAGGTGAAGAAGTTGATTTCATTTTAGTTTGTTGAAGAATTTTAAGTTTTTCAGTTAAATGATCATGCCAATAAGATGAACAATTTCCTAGATAAATTTAATTCAATAAGAAAATAATAATAATAATACGATAATCACGTTTTGAACAGCATAATGTTGATTCAAGTTCTTCACTAAGTCCAATAATAGTTGTTGTAGATGTAATTATTGACTTTGAAATTTTAGATTTTGATTTAGGCATTACCGTTTTATTGAAATAAAATATTAATTTTAATCTCAAAATTAAATAAAGAAATCAAACTTTAATTTTTTGAAAAATATACAAAGAAAGTGACCAATGAATTATTAACACAACCGATTAAATATGTTCTCAAGCGACATCATACGATAGATTATTTCTAATTTTATCTCATTGAACATTATCCTATTTTCATAAATTATGTCAAAACATACTTTTTTAAGCGCAATTTTCATTTATTTCACTATCTTTCCCTCATAGTTTATGCGTTATTCTAAATCTTTATGCCCAAAACTATTTGTTTGTACTGCTTTTCTTTGTTGGAATTCAAAATATTTAAATTATTCGTTTTCTAATATTACGCAATGTACTCCTTCACCACTCTATTTCGAAACAAATATTCGATTCATACCAAAAAATCTTAATTATCAAAAGAAATATTCAATTCATGGATATAGTTGTTCAAAGTGTACACAAGAAAATTTTATTGAATATAATATAGATATATTTGATCAATGTTTTAAACAAACAACAATGATTGAACTGAAAAATTCTTGTCAACATAAAAGACTAAAAAGTGATTGTCAATGTTATCCAGCTAATCAATCGATTCAACCAATTCATGACTGGGTGAAAGCAATCGAAAAATCTGGTAAAAGTCATATGAATGTTATTCGAGTTAATAATATTAATGAATCAGCAATAACATCGGTATACTTTCTAATTGGGTCCTTTATGTTAATTCTTATTTTTGGTGGTTTTATTGGAATGATATTTTATAAGATTAAATTAAAATCTATGCAACAACAAATATTTAAAGAAACTCGATAGATTTTTGAAGTCTTTTTTGTAAATATCCCGCCTATTTATAAATAAAATATCATTTTTTTATGTGATTGAACATGACTATTGAATCGAAGTCAAAGCAAACACTTTCAATAAGCAAACAATTAGTTTCTTATCAAATAAAACCACAAGCAAAAGTAACTATTTTAGGTACAGATCGAACTGCATTTATATGTGCAATGACAATGGCTTTAAAACAGCATACCAGTGAAATCGTTATTGTTGATCAATCTTATAATCAACAGATGAAAATATGTTTTGAAGATGTGAGTAAACTATACTAATCAATAGAAATAACTATTTTTATATGATAGCTTGCTTGTGCCTTTCAACTTTGCCGTATAACTCGTTCAGTGAAACTTATTTATACATCAGATATTTCACATACATCTCGATCAGATGTTATTATTATTACCGGCGCACACAAAACTAATAATTCTTTATTATCATTGAAACAAAAAGCTGAAGAATTCATTGATGCTAGTCATGGTAATCCTTCAATGATTGTACGTCTTCTTATGATCAATCCAAATGCTGTCTTTCTGATAGTTAGGTCTAGTATTGATTATTCATAGAGAACTTGAAAAAAAATGATTGTCTTTTCTTGTGTTTAGGTGTTTCTCCATATGATTACAATTCATTAGTTGTTAAATCATTAGCTGGTAAACATTGTCATACTGGACAAATATGTGGATTAGGTTTGAATATTTACAATCATCGATTACGTTATATTATTAGTGAATTACTTAATATATCAACTAAATATATTACTGGTTTTACTATAGAAACTACGAACACATTAATCCAACCATATTGGTCAAGTATTACTGTAAATGGTGAATGCATCATATCGAATGAAACTATTAATTTAAAAACATACAAGTACTTTATAAGATTTATTTTTTTCTATGTAAATGATTGGATCTCTCTCATATAGATCATCAACTGATGTATTATCCATTTCAAAAGCTAAGAAGATTGTAACACAAAATTTTATTAAAAAAAATAATATATCACGTTCTTCTCCGCGAAGTACTTCTAATCGAATTCAACAATGGCTTCATGCAAATCATCGTTTGCAATCTATTAGAAAAAGTCGCAGAACGATACCACCTATCTCAAATAATGCATTGAATATTATTGAATCAAAACAAAATCTTTCTCCAACAATTCAAGATAAACTTGTGAAAGATTTAAATGGATGGCATTGTCTTCAAATATTATATAATCATCCATATGACTATACTTTAGGTATGAATTTATCACAAATTACTCGTTCTATGATGAGTAATTCTCAAGAAATGTTCATATTATCAACTTATATTCAATCAATCAATGAGGTATTAAATTGAATAATTGACATAAAAATAATGCAGAATTTTGTCTATAATTAGATCGAAATGAAAAATATGGATCTATTTACAAGTATGCCTGTTCTTATTGGTCGTTATGGTATTCATTCTATACTTAATTTTAAATCTCATATTGAATTATATAAGAACATGCAAAAAATACTTGAACGAAATCGAAAATTTCGTGATATGATCAATGATCCATTGACAAAAAAACCTATGATATAATATCAATTCAGAATGTATTCTGATGTTTTCTTCTTTTCCTAGTAAAACAAAATAAAGGTATAACAATAGAAAAACAAGACAAAAGTGCTATAACATTCAGGAAAAAGATGCACACATAGAATAGAAAAGATAATTACGATGAAAAATAAATCATTTTATGAGTCGAAAATCATAACAAGTTGATAGAATAATATACTTTTGCTTGTCTTTTTATGAATTTTATCATTGTAGGACGGAGGTTGATTTAATAAGATCGATGTTTTAATTTCAATATATAATTCCTATGACAAAAAAAAAATAAATAAATATTTCATTTTTATAAATTAAATTTCTTTTCAACGGCCTACTTGGTATAAATACCTTCTAAATGCATGTTAAACTTTTTTTAACTCATTTCTAGAGTCTCTATGTACTAGTCTTGTTCCTGAATATTTTATATATTTTATAAGAAAAGAAAAAAAAATTTCTAGTCCAACAAATATAAAATGAATAGAATATATGAAGAGACAAGAAAAAACAATGGATGACGATTTTATTAATCGAAGATAACAAAACAAAAAATATAACGTGAATATATATCACTGACCTGCTTCAGAAAAAAAATCAAGCAGGTCATAATATCGTTGGTTTTCCGGCAAAAGAATGCTTCTACATAATAAAAAAAATAATATGAATTAGTTTTTCTTATTAAGAAATTTTCGATATTACTTACAAAAAATTCATAACAAGACCAAGCAACAGCTGTACTTGGCATTTGATAAAGAACACGTGGTGTTAAACCTTTAAAAAATGCGGCTAATCCTCCTTGAGTATATATGACTCGAACAGCGGTTACAAGTCCTCTTGCTTTTTCAGTAGCTAATACATTTTTTCCATTTCCTGTTGAAATTCTTGGTACAGCACATGTTGGTTCACCCGTTGATACTAAACAACATTCTTGAGTATTTAATAATGTTTTACAAACATCTAATGGTGTTGTTACTGCCGATGCTATGGCACCAGCTCCAGCACCTGATATAACATGTGATAATGGATCATACTGTCTTGTATAATTTAAATAATCTTGAAATAATTCATAAGTAACAAGATGTATTGAATGAAATGGAATATTCATAGTTAATTGAGTTGTATAACTTCGGTAGAGTACAGATAGACCTTCACGTTGACGAATTTTACGTAAACAATCAACTGCACCGGAATAGGGAGATGCATATATTTGTAAACGTTGTTTAATAGCTAAATATTAAATATTATTATTTTTTCTATTAATTAAACTATATTATTATTACCATCTGCAGGTACCATCAAAGCATCATGAAATAAAGTTGCAAAACAACCAGCTAATCCATTAGCAATTGGACTATGACCAGCTTGTGAAGTTCCACTAAATAATACTTTCATTTTTTCATAACAAGAAAAATAAAGTGCGTGGGCAGGTCCAGCTGCTAAAGCTACAACATGCATACCACGTACCTAATAGAAAGAAAAAAAAATCAATTTCGATTTTAAAATATTAATAGAAAAAAATTCACCGACAGGTCTAAAAACGCCTTCATTAGCCATCATTGTTCTAATAGCATCGACGATTCCTCGATATTTTGCATGGGGATCAGGATTAATACATTGCATTCGAGTCTATTAATATGTATAGAAATTTTTTGTAAAATATTTTTAATTGAAAGAAAAATATTTTTTTTGTATACTTTAACAACATCGACTGGATACATAACACAATGTTCACCAACACCGGCTAGTGCTCCAGCAGCCATATGTATAGCTGGATGCATAGATTCTGGAAGACTTTCATAATCATCAACCGATGCCATTTTTATATGTTTAATTCACTGTTTGATTTATATATTATGATACTATTTTTTCTCAGCAATGATTATCGATGAATGCAAACGTGAAGGTCTTTCCATAACAAAATGGGATCTAAAATTAATGAACCACATATTATGTAATATCCTCAATCTTAGACTTCATCAAGCAAAAGAAGAAAAAAAACTACTATTTTATCTCCACACCTCCCTTCGAATCAAATCAAAACGAACAATATCAAAACAGGAGAACGATGTTTTCTTCGCTTCAGGTAAAATGCATTACGAGAGAAAAAGAAAAGACATGACGTATGTTTTATATATATATGAGTTATATAAGAAAAAAGAAAGAGAACAATGACGATGCAAGATTTTTTTTTTATTTCCTCTTCTTCTCTCTCATCTGTTTTTTTTTTCATTTTCTGACATATATATCTTATGGATTAAGATTGAATAAATATCACACTTACAATCTTTAAAAAAAAATATGTATAAAAAAAAAGAAAAAGATCTTTATACTTTGGTTCATCTTCTATTTTTGTTTTTTTCGGATTTACTTCTAACTTTTTTACTCAAAAACATATTGTCATTTTTTTCTAATGCTTATAAATAAATGAGAAGAAAGTTCGAAGATATAACAACATGAACAAGAACAACAATAAACGAAATTTGTTTGGAGAAAAAAAAAGAAGAAGAAGAGAACGAGTACACATAGCATCTGAAAAAGAAGAAGAAAAAAAACAGACAAATCATCGGCAATTTTTTATTTATTTCTTTTTTTGTTTATTTGTTCTTTTTATTATCTACTGTTGCTTGCATTCAGGTTGTTGTCCTGCGCCATTGGCACCACCTGCTGAGCCATGTTTACCACCTTTAGATTTCTATTTAAACAAATATATAGACAAAACAATAATAAGCTATCATTTTTCTACTTACACCTTGAGAACCACCTGGTGGACCATGTTTACCACCACCGCCACCATGATGATGTCCACCCTTACCGCCTCCATGATGATGATGATGACCTAAAGTAAAATTAAATTAATATTTCAAATTTGGATTTTCTCTTTTCATACCTTCATCTTCATCTTCTTCTGGATCTTCATCTTCATCATCGTCATCTAAAATAAAATAAACTGAGATATAGAGTTACGTTTTTTTTTAATATTCTTACCATCATCTTCATCATCTTCATCTTCATCAAACTAAAACACATATATATATGTTAAAATGTTTCATCAAAACATAAGTTTCTTTTTCTTACCTCGCCATCATCTTCATCTCCAGCTTCACCGGTATAATAAAGAACAGCTTTTGGTACGATTGAATCTCGAAGCATATGTCCAATTTCAAAATCAGCTGCTAACGATTGTAATTCTTCATTTTCTTCGAGATCAGCATCAGCATCTTCAGGTACTAAAATCAATAAACTATAAATATTCGTTTTTCTATTATTTTAAAACTTACCAGTTGGTGGTGTAAAAAAATTAAAAAATGACTCAGTTTGAACTTCTTTTGTAACAACACGAATTGTACCACGACTTTTATGTTTTTGTCGTTTTTTAACCATTTTAATAGTAATATTCTTTCCTTTATTCCATTGAATTTCACAACCTTTAGATTTAATTATTTCTGGTCCTTCATAGGATAATGGTTCAGTTTCATCAGGTCCTGTACGAAGTTCATAAGATTTTGTTAATATTGTATTAGAAAAATATTCATTCGATGTAAATTCAAATTCAATTGTGAAACCTTTATATTGTGCATCATCCTGCATAGTTAAACGTACATCAATAAGATGTTTTAATACAGGTTCATCATGTTCCTAAAATGATTTAATTTTTTTTTGTATTAATATCGATTTGAAATATACTTTTATTAATTCTGAGAGAGCATCTGAATTTTTAAATACTTGTAACCAAAATTCTGGAATACCAACTGCTTTTTCTAAACAAAATAATAATAATAATTAATTCATTAGATAATACTAACAAAAATATTTTTTTGAGATATCAAAAATCATCGTATAGACTGACAAGGTTGTCTATCATTACTAGATCTATCCTATATTTAAGAAAGACATGATTTTTCATTTTGAAAACATATGCGAATTAAAATGAAATGAAACAAAATGACCTTGCCAATCGATATCATTTATCAGAATATGAAATAATGCACTAAAAAAAGATATAGGCCTTGTGATTAAATGATGTCATCATGCATTCAAGGTTATGGGAACTGAATGTCAGAAAATAGAAATATTGTAAGATGATTTTCTTCGTACCTTCGTCTTTTTTCTTTTCATCAGATTTTTCACCAGCTTCTGCTGCTTTTTTAGCTTCTTCATCAGCCTAAAATTTAAATAAGAATTAAAAAAAATTAATTGAATTATTTTTTACTTCATCCTCATCAAATGCACATTTAGCTTCAGCGTCTGTTGGTTCGTAAGCTCCTTTGACAATATTTAAACGCTAAAATAAATACAAATAAAATAAATTATTACGGAGAAGAAAGAAAATTATTTACTTTTTCATATAATGGTTTATATTTGCTTAAATATCGACATTCAAGTGCATGAACTTCTTCAAAAAAATTTGCTTCAATTTTATGATGTTCAACTTGTATATTTCGAAGTGCATTCACACGACGAACAACTTCCGCTGGTAAACTAAACAAATAAACGTAATATTTCAGTATAATTACGAAATTACATATATGTATATAAATAAATAAAGAAGAAAAGAAATTTTCTAACTATAACCTACTCGTGTTCATAATATTCATACTCTTGTGGAATAGATGATTGATGATCATCAACATCATCTGATACATAACTATTATCATCAGGACATTCAATATTTGACATTATTAGATCAGAAAGGGAATAACAACAACAACACACCAATATATTGGTAATAATAACCCAATAGAACAACACATGCACACACTTGTAGAAAGAAGAAATAGATTTATCTCTTTTCTGTATTTATATGGTATTTTGCTTATTTCTATATGATAGTAGGACATAGAGAGAGAGAAAAAAAACAGGACCTGTATTATATTTATCCTATATACAATGATAAATATAATGCATTTTGTAGACACAAGTCTATGTATTTATTTATTTATTTATTTTTAAATCATACCTTCCAGCGAGTAGTGCACCAAGATCAAGATCATCACCCATTGATTCAAGTCGTTGTTGTACATTTTGAAGAAAACCCGGAGTTGCAAGTGCAGTTGCAGGTGTACCAGTAGCAGCTGCTGTTGATTGAGTATCAGCTACTGATGATTCACCGGTTGCAGGTGGTGCTTGAACATTATCGTTCTTATCCATTCTATATTCTTCTTTAAAGCAAAAAAAAAATTTCTTAAATCAATTGAAATTCTTTAACATACTTTTAAACAAGTAAATAATTTACCACACACCGGGTTTTTTAATCTAAAAGAGACAGAGAGGGAGAGAGAGAAATTACTCAGAAAGCAAAAAAAAACGAACACACGAACATCTTTTACTGCGCAATTCTTTGGATTTCTTCATTTATCCCTATTACTAATTAACCAATGAAATATCAATTAAAAAATCTTGTTAAAATCTATTTTTAAAATTTAATTCTATTTTATCTATAATAAAAATTTATTTTTTAATATTTTTTTCAAAGAAATTATTTCAAAAAAATAAACATTTTACTAGCGACCTCATTCATTGGATATGACAGTTAAACAATGGATTGATGAAAAAAATCACATTTGATCATCATTATTATTTTTTTTTCTCATTTCTTCCATATATATGATTGTTTATTATTGGATTCATATATTTATTTGATTTCATTCAGATAAATAAATAAATTTTTTTCATGTCGAATTTTGGTGATTCACCTGATATTGGCGATTCACCGGAACGTTCAGGTATTAATAGTGGTAATAATCTATCAACATCAATTGATAGTGAAGAAACCGCATTATCCAAATATGAACATGAATTGGAAAGGATGATCAACGAAAGTTTAATTAATGGACAAGATTTATATACACAAAAATTATTTAATGCCTTTCAGAATGCAGCCAAATCTGTAACAAAAATGTTTCGTGGTAAATATAACGAAATTTATTTAAAATATCAAATATTTTCTTTTTTTTTATTTATTTATTTAAGAACGTTCCAATGGAACAGCTAATTGGAATACATTTCATGCAGCAGCTGGATCTGTCACAATGCTTTATAAAGGTATAAAATTAAGAAAAAAAAAATTAAATATTCATGTTTTTTTTTAAAATTTATTATTATTATTATTATAGAAAGTCTTGATGCATTGAAAGATACAGTACAATTGGGTATTATTAATGGTGAACAACGTAAAACAAAAGAATTGTTATGTTGGGCACGTCGTAAACAACGTCGCCATATACGTACAGAAGAAGTTTATGACTATTTAATTGGTCGTCCACCATATCGTTTTGCTTCTCGGCCATATAATTCAAATAATTCATTATCATTAACTGAAATTGGCAGTACGAACAGTGGTACAACACATAGCAGTAGTCTACGTCGACAAGATTCAGCTACAGAATTAACCACAACAATACCAACAACAACAACAACGAATCAAAATCAACCCATTGTGGATGATTTACAAACATTTCGACAAGCACTTGTCATGCATGGTAATGAAAATATCAACTAATTGTTTTTACATATAAATATTTTATTCGTTTGTTTTAGATATTGATAATGCTAATCGTAATGTTCATTCAAATTCCTATCGTCATCAATCACCATCACCACCTTCAACAGCTCAACAACTTGAAAGTTTTGTTCGTCAACAAGTTGCTGATCACTTAGCACGTAAACGTGATTGGCATTCAGCAGATTTTGGTTCGACTTCATCGGATTTTCAAAAACCAAAACGTGGCCGACATATGTGAAAAAAAAGAATATTTCTATTTCAAATCAGCTTATATCTTATCTTTCTTTTGTCACGGCTGTATTTATTATTATTATTTTTTTCGCGTAACGCGGGTATTTTTCTTTCTCTCTCTCTCTCTTTTTTTTCTTCTTTTCATTTTGCTTGTCATTGAAATATCCTTTTTGTGCTCTTCTGGATTTTCTTTTCATGTACAGTTGCTTCATCCTTTTTGTTCTCTGTTTTCTTTTTTTTTGTTCTAACTATCTAGACGATGTTGCTCAATTTAACTTTGAAGATTTGATATCGTCATCGTTGTCGTCGTTTCCTACTACTATAACTGATCATGTTCTTCTTTTTTTCCTACTTTCAAAATAAACTATAGACATATGAATTTTTCTGTTTATTTCATATAGATAGAAATAACATACATTAAAATTATTGAACAAATACTTTCATTATTTACATGATATAGAATTAACAAATTAGATTATCACATATATAATAGGTTTTGTTTTACGTATTTAATGACTATAATTCATGGCAATTCTTTCTGATTGTTATGTTTGGCAGATGACGGATATGTAAAAAAAACACATTACTATATTTAGCTTTTAAAAATGTACACATTCATTTGAGATTGAACGGATAGAGAATAATTACATAATGTTAAAAATTAGAAATAACATTTTTGTTGATGTGCTTATCGTTTGATTTAAGCCACTTGATACGATCATTCGATCTTAGCTCAACTTATATTTGAATCAAACATAAAATTAAAAAAATAGTTCACACATGATCAAATTCATTGATTATAAATTTTGTGACAGATGTTCTATTGAACAAAGACTCTTCATCTTATAGTGTATAATAAGGATGCTATGCCATAGAAAAGTCATCGCGCCTTTATACTTAATTTTTTCTTTTGATGCTGACTTTTCTGTAAAACATAATTTTAAAATTAAATAGCGTCATAGAAAATTTAATTTTCTAATTCATCATTAAATTAATTGTCTCGTGTCAAAAAAATTTCTATGTTCCTAGTTAACATAAAAAGAAAAAAGTACAAAAATATATTTTAATTATTCTATATCAAGTAGATTTACATTAATCATATCGATATTTGTCTCATATGTCCTTGTAATAATTTCTATATATTCCTACGCTATTATTCTGTTATTCACATTAAATAAATATGTTACTTTGAAAAAAAAAACTAAATTTTTAAAATTTCTTTCGCTCTAATAAAGTTCATTTTCTATTCACTTAAATATTTGTTGATATATTTTTCTCATTAGAAATGCTTCATTACAAAATTGATATCATTCAAGGTTATCATTATACGAATACATATATATATATATATCATGATAAAAGCGTTCATTTATTCTTATACTAAGACATACTTGTTCATGAAAATTTCTATCATTAGATGAAATACATTACAAACGAAGTAAAGTTATTTTTAATATCGATTATTGATAGTAATAGTTAAGAACAATGATGATATGGAATAATTTTACCATTAGAAAATAGAATTAATTGAACGTATATGTATTTTGTTTACAATTCGATAACAAAAATAAAATTAATTAAAATCTATTCAATTATTTGTTTTTCTCCTTATGTGTCTAATATCAGATGTCATTTGTTTCGCTCATCATTCAAACTCTCTCTCTCACATACATACATACATTCACAAAATCTTTTTCATACAAACATAGGAAAAGAAAGAAAAAAAGAAAGCAACAAACAAATATTATGATCATCTATCTACAAGGCACACGGAAAACATAAAAAGAAAAACAAACACATTTTATTATCAAAGTAAAAGGAAAAGAACGAACGAAGCACAAAAGAAAGAAATTGAAACCGGTATGGAATATTTGCAAAAAAATAATAATAGAATAAACGAAAACAACAATAAAAATTTTTCTTATCGATCTCATTTTGGTGGTGATGAAGATGTTGGTGATATTCTATTTTCATTTGCTGATTGTTTTGTTGTATGAAGTCGTTTAAATTGTTCAAGTGATGAATAATCACATAAAGATTGTAATTTATTTCCAACTGGCATTGATGATCCATTAACAGCTATTCCTCGAGGATGAGCAGCATTTGCAGGAAGACGAGTTGTATTAGAACCACATGAAACCAAATAGAGACCGCCTGTAGATATAAAAAAAGAAAGAAAAAGAAAAGATTTATTAAATTAACAAAAATTTCGATTTTATTTATTAGATCGAATAGAATTTACATACCGGTTTTATCAAATCATTTGACAGTGTAAATAAATATAGTAAACAGAAAATCAGAAGAAGAAGGAGAAGAATATGTGTATACATGCATAATTTAAATATGTAATAAGTATAAAGACCAAAAAAAGAAAGAAGATTGAGAATTGATTGAATAAGTGTTTGCATAAATTTATCTTCTTTTTTTTTTCATTTAACCGAACAGACCTGTTCGTTGTCGTGGTACTGTATTTGCACTTTTAGTTCGTACGGATGGATCAAACGTAGTATTAGCTGTAGGTATAGTTGGTTTGGGTGAAAAATTAGTTGTTATTTGTGGCATAATATGTGTTGGTAATATAGCACGATTAGTATTATTATTTGGAAGAATATTCTCTGATGGACGTAATGTTTGTTGATAACGACTTAGTCTTGTATTACTTTGTGAATTGATTGTAGCCTAAAATAAATAAATTTATCTTATGATTGATTTCTACTATAATGAAAATTAGGTACAACTTTTGTTGTTGTTCGAATATCATATTTAGGTTGTAATGGATGTTGTTGACTGGTGAAATACTGTTGTAGTGCTTGTGTTGATACTCCATTATTTGTCGTATATCGATTTATTTGTGCATTAGGTAATTTTGAACCAACATATTGTAGTAATGAAAGATTTTGTGATGGATCACCTACATCACTTTGATTCTAAAAATCATAAAAAAAATAGTTTCAAGATAAACGTTTTTTTTTGCTAAATTGTTTTATTACATTATGATGTTGTCCATGAATTGTTATATTAGGATTACTTGATAATGGTACATTTGCCATTGTTCCCGGTGTACCAAATAACATACGATGGCACATATCAGGGACACCTTGTTATATAAACACATAAAAGAATGATTTAATATGTATTTTTTTCATCTTTTTTACCTGATGTTCTAAGAAGTGCTTCACGTTGTTTAAGTAATGTCATTCTTTCGAATTCTTCAGTTTCATCAATTTCAATAGGTTTTGTTGATTCACCATAACTTGGAATTGTTGGAGTAGACACGAGTGAATTCTAAAAATTCAAAACAAAACAAATATGAATATGTATTTATTTATTTTATATATATATATATATGACTATGTACATTCTAAATACAATAGGCAAAGAGTAAGAATGTGCAATGAAGTTTATAGTGAAATAATTTACCACAGAATGTCGATGAGAAAACATCATTTTCTATAAAATTGTTTTTTTCGATTAGGGAATTAGTGAAATAAATCATAAGAAAATTTTGAAATATAAAAAACAAAAATAAACTTACAGCTGTAATACGTTTTAATGGTGCTCGATTAAATGATGAACTTCTTGATGTTTTCACATTTGATATTGGTTTTCGTGTTGGACTTTCACCTCTCAATTCTCTCGGATTATTATTACCTACACCAGCATTTGGTTTTCGATTTTTAAATGCATTTAATTTATCTTGTTTCTTTTGTATTTCATCCATTTGTGCTCTAGAAAATAAACGATATAAATCCTTTGTTTTGTTTGTTTATTTTCAAATATACTTTGCTTGTTCAAGACGAGCTTTTGATGCAGCTGTTTCGGAATAAAGTGTTCCCGATTGTGTATAAAATCTATCATATTTTTCCGCTGTATCTACACCTGGATAAATTCGTCGATAATTTCCTAAATGTTGATCTTCCCATTTTTCAATTTCTTTTTGCCATTGTTGAGCAAGATCTTCTTGTTCTTCACGATATTTATTATCTTTTTTATTTGCTTTTTGAAAAAGTCTTTCTTTTGCACGTTTTTTTTCTTCTTCAAGAAATCGACGTTTATCAGCTGCTGGCATATTTAATAGAAGTAATGTATCATATATAAGTGCATCTTTTATTTCTCGATCAAGTTTAGAATCTGTTGTAAAACTTGGAGAATGATTTACCTTTTTAAAATTAAAAAATATTCATTTCATTTCTAATATATAGTCTTACTTCAAGAACATGTGGTTTTAATTTTTTATCAAGTAATACATCAAAACCAAGTATTTCAAAACAAGCACTACCACGATAATGATTAGGAAAACAAGCTCGATAATTATGTTTAAGAACAGATTGAGCTGATATAAGAGTTTTTATAATGATATCATCAATATCTGCCCACATTTTTGGTACATCATAACCATGTTCGGCTAACCATCGATTAATTGTTGTTATTCGACTAAAAGAAAAAAATGTTTTTTTGTAAATTGAGAATTTTTTTATATTCTTTACCGTTTAGTCCCTGAATCTTCATCACGTACGAAATCATCAGAACGTTTTTGAATAGCGTAATTTGTTAAATGCATAAAAACATCTTTCTAAAATAAATAATTCAGATGTAACATTTAGTAAATTAGTTTTTTTTCATACACAATTTGAATTTGATGGTTCTTCATATTGTTGAGTTGTAAAACGCGCAAGACCATCTTTATAAACAAATATTCGAAATGGATCACATGATGTTACAGCAACATAAACACGTAAATCAAATTTAAAGCCATCGAGTACAAATGGCTAAAATAAAAAGCTTTTTATTTAATTAAAAACAAAAAATATTTCATCAATATACTCGATTAACATATACTTGTACAACATAATTATCAGAACTAAATAGAAAAATAAGATTTGAAAATTTTTGCTTAATAAATTACATACGGTTTAATATCTCTGCCTGGATTTTTTGTTATAAATATTCCACGACCTTGACAACCGACATCTGGTTTAGAAATATATGTTCTATATTTTTTCTCGGAACAATATTTAGCAAAATCAGCATAACTATTAAAATAATTAAATAGAATAGAGAAAAATAAAAAGAAGAAAACTTCATACTCAGCTGGAAGACACCAAGCTTTTGGATAAAATGCATATTCTTTTGGAAACATTTTTATCATACGAGCCATATTTCTTGTTAAAGAATCTTTTCGACATATTTCACTCATGCCAGGAAAATGATTTATTTTCTAATTAGATGAAATTTTAAGAAAATAAAGTTTTTCTTTGTAATACAAACCTGCCATTTTTTCATTTGTCCAACTCGATCAATACCAACACTTGTATCTGTCCAATAAACATTCCAATCATCTTCATCAGCTACTTCACGAAAATTAAGACGTTTTGCTGCTCGTCGTACACATTCATATTTGCACATGGATACACAAATATAGTAAATTCTTCAAAAAAACAAAATTGAATAAAATAACAAAAAAACAAAAGAATTTGATCAAACCTTTTCCGTTTTTTCTTTGCTAATTGTGAGTTTTTACTTTTACTATCATCGTCAGCTGTACCTGATATAGATGATGGATTGGCTCTCGGTAATACCCTTCGTTCATCATCAGATTCACCCGGTACTTCTATAGAAAATATTTATTGATCAGAAATCCTGTGAAAAGAAAAATTTCTTTTTACCATATTCTTCAGGTAATGGTGCTTGAAAACCAATTGTATCTTCATCATCTTTTAATGTTAATTCAACTGGTTTAGCCCTCGACGGTCGATTAACTGTTGTTGTTGATGGTGTTTCATCTTCAGATGATGAACCTCTACCGCTCGATTCACTTGAACTATGTCTATTACGTTGTCGTACTGCTGCCATTTGACTTTAAGATATTTTTTTATAATTAAATATATGTGCGTGAGAGGAAATGAATTTTTTTTTAATAAAATAAATTCGTAATTTAACAAAAAATTATTTCCGATAATAACTATGTTTAAGATCGTTTGAACATAGAAGTTATAGAATTGATACCGAGAGCCATTATAAAACGAAAGATCTTGAAAATAATATTTACATGAGAAAAAAACAAAAAAATAATTCGTCTAGCAGAATCAATATACACATTGTCGTTATGTTGTTTCTGCTATTATAATAAGAATACATTCAGCTTTTTTTTTCTTCTTCTGTTGTAATAAAATATCTCAATTCTAGATGCACGCAGCCATTCAAGTATAGTGCAATCATAGTATAAAGTGAAAAAGAAAGAGAGAGAATAAATGAAGAGAAAATAATCGACTCTTATTTTTAGAAACTAAAGATTATAAACAGATCAATTCTTTCTAGTCTAAACAAGAGAAATGATTTCATGTACATTAACTGAAAAATCTTTACTGAGTTTCTATGACCTGATATGAAAAATTATATGGCTCATAAAATGATTGACAAACTTATAAGTAAAAAGAACTTGTGTGTCTTTGTTTTTTCTTTACTTAACATTTTAAGATAAAAACAAAGATTGAAAGTTCACTAATACAATTCATATTATTTGTTTTATTCTAAATTATTTGATAATTAAATACACGAAAAAATATCTTTTTTTTCTAAACCGTCTCGCATATGTTTTTCGTCATAAATAATTTTACGTCTCATACTTCTGCGCAAAAGAGTTTTGTTTTTTGTAAATAGAATTTCTAGAAAAGAAAGGTTAACAAGAAAAACCTCTTAAGCAATAATATATACGTACATTCTAGAAAAAGGAAAGTCAGGGTAATATAAATCAAAAACAGTTCGATACCATTTTTCTTTGCTTGTTATTCGATCTCGTTTTCTTAGCAACCACCAGTGAAATATATTAATTCTTACAAATAATTAGAGACATCTATTGACATACCACTATGTTGAATAAAAAATATGAGTTTTGATTGAAAACTCTTCGAATGAGTAACAATTAGAATTATTATAGTTTCTAGTTGTTTATTATAATGTTCAAGTTTTAATGTCAAAAGTTATTTTATTTATTAAAACATTTTCAAAGTTAAAAAATAGTAATTTTGTATACAATCATGATGATCTACATATACGAATGAAACCATATTTTCAATGACAGATAATAATTAAAAAAACTGTAAAGCTAATTCTATTTATTACAAAGTAAAAACTTTGATTTGATTTTTATAAAAGTTTTCTATGTGTACTATAGTTTATTAGTATAGAGACGAAAATTTAATAGAATCAAAATAAAAACTATTGAAAAGTTTATAATAAAACGCTTCATTCTTATGGATTGCATCATCATTCGAGTAAATATTTTCAAAAAAACAACATAAATTCTTTTGTGGATTTATTTAGCACAATCAACTACAAACATATATTGATTATCTTTCGAATAATGAACGACAACGACGACTTTAAGTTAAATCAATAGCAACTAGATAGGATTCGAGTTTTGCTCGATTGCAAAATGTGATGCAAAGCTTCAACTTTCGATAATCTAGAAAAGCGAGCCGTCGTCTCTAGTAAATCTCCATGAAAAAACGTATTTTGCAACCTATTGAAACTTGTATTTTGTCATTATCCATCTATATGAAAAAGATAGTGACAAATTGTTAAAATATGCCTTGTTCTGTGGCTTTATGTAAGTAGACAAATAATATTGATTTCGAGCGAGTTAACAGCCGTTTATCGTTTTCCAAATCGTCATGAAATAGCGAGCCATATAATTTCCAACTAATTCATAAGTAGCTAATTTATTATGGAATTCTTCTTTAAAAACAACAAATGAGTGTTACCGATATTAGTCAAATTGTATTGATATTTTTTTTCTCGTACATTCATTTGTGTATCAATGATAATATTCTTTGAATGGAAAAGAAGACAATGTCTGACTTCATCTTCTGATGAACATTTTCTGGTAATAATAATGAGAAAGTAGATGATGTATAATCAATAATAAAAAGTAAAAAAAATAATAAATTTTAATTGAATTCTGACAAATAATACAACGGTATTTAACCTAAAACTTGAATTCAATTACTCAATTATTTACGTTTGTCTCCTTATATGTAGATCTTCTCTTGAAAGATAAACTCCTGCTATCACCGAGGCTCTTTCTTAGAGATGTACATCACATCTACCGAATGGTCACATATATGTATCTCAAATATCTATTTTATCCGTTTCATTAAAAAAAGTCGGGAAGAAAAAAATTTATTCAGAACTGTTTATATCGAAGATATCATCTGACTAAAACAACGGTTCATCAAGCTTGAAATATCCCTTTTCTTTTTTTTTTGTAAAACTTTGTAATGGATATGATGAGAACATTTTCCAGTTATTGTCAAAATATTTTCTTCGTCGTTCCGGAGAATTAATTAAGTACTACGATTTTGTATCGTATGTAGACGTATAAAGAAGTCTCCGATATTTAAATCAATAGTATACATTTTCTTCATTTACTGGTATTTATACATTTTTGTTATTCTAGATCAAATTCAATATTCAATAAACTGAAAGTAACAAGAAACTGTTTTTTCTGATTATCGTTGTGTTTGTAATGAATATTTACCTATTTATTTCTTTTTTTGTAACATTTGATTTTGAAAATATAATTAAAACTGTTACTTAATATGTTGTCAAATAACAGAGAAATGGAAAAAGAGAGAAAGACTAGTTAAGAGCAGTAATTGTGTTTTCTTTATATTCGAACACATCACAATATTTTACTGTATTCATTCTGCAATCACATTGAGACAATGGTAGATACTAACAAACGAGTGTTTTGGCATTTTACATTTAAAGACATATTAACTATCTTATGTTCAGCTGCTATACCCATAGCTCTGGCTATCTATACTGCAATTGGATCTCAACAACAAAAACAACAAGATGAGAAAAAACAAAAGTTTGATTTGGAACAATCAACAGAATTAAGGCAACAAACTCTTTATGATGAATTTATAAATAATATTTTTAAATTGGATAGTTATGGTTATCTGAAAGAGAGAAAAAATCCATGGGCATTTGCGAATGCATATTATCGTGCTGCTCATCTACAATGGGATACAACACGTAAAGCATATGTTTTACAATTTCTGAAAGAAAAACAATTGATTGGTAGAAATAATTGCACTAATGGATGTAGAACAACAAATTTAGATGATATAATCCGTTTGAATGAATTAAGTTTTGATAATGTACGTCTAGCAAGCCAAAACGGTGTATTATATAAGTTGAATTTACAATGTATTTCTTTTGATCAAGTATCATTGTCAAATGCGGAGTTTTCATCTGTTAATTTAAATGGTGTGTCATTTAATGAAGTACAGTTAGATAAGGTGAACTTTGATGGTTCATCTTTACTTTGTGCTAGGTTTAATGGTGTAAATCTGTCGGGTGTAGATTTTGGGAACTCGAATCTGACAGGTGCACACTTTTCAAACAGTGATTTATCAGGAGCTAAAATAACAGAAGATCAAATAAATCAGGCATCTTTTGATAATGTGATTATGCCAAACGGAGAGAAGAGTGAGATTACATCCTCAACATCAACAAAAAATCCTATAACACAAACAACCACAATGATAAAAACAAAAATGTCGACAATATTATCATCATCGTTAATCTCAACAACATCACCGATAACAACGCTATCATCGTTCACAACAACATCATCATTCTCATCAACATCAACAACGCCATCATCACCATCAACAACAACAACATCATCGACAACAACAGCATCATCGACAACAACGCCATCATCATCATCAACAACAACATCATCAACAACAACGCCATTAACAACATCATCAACAACAACAACAACATCATCGACAACAACGCCATCATCATCATCAACAACAACATCATCGACAACAACATCATCAACATCAACAACAACATCATCGACAACAACGCCATTAACGACATCATCATCAACAACAACATCAATTGGTCAGTAATATTCCACACGAATCATAGTACCTTTTTTAGTTGTCAATCGATCAATTCCTGTTCAGTTTGATAAACTATACTCTTCGAACTTCCTGTTTCTTATTTGTAGAATACGATCGATAGATGATAAGTAATTGTCAGATAACATTTCTTTTTGGATATTATTTTGAAAGTTAGTCATATTATATGTTTGTAATATTGCTAAAATAGTTTCATTTACTTTTATCTATATGACATAGATTTGTGAAGAGTTTTATACGGAATGCAGCCCAGAATCTTTTAAGGGAGAACTCAGCTCAAAGCTAGAACCACTGACGATAGATCCACGAAACACAAAATTTATTTATTTTTAACTTTATATGAAAATTTCGACATTTGTATGTTAGATTTTATATTTCTGAAGATACTTATAGGATCAAAAGTATTAAAGGGACTATTATGTTCTGTAGAAAAGTAAAAGAGGACAAATTTTATTTCGCCTAAACCCCTCTTGTTCAGTTTAAACTTCTTATATAAACCTCACGAAGGATCAGTCATTCTCATTTTATACACCGAGGTATTCTATGTCTGTTCGTTTTAGTAAAGTAATTTTTCAGCGCACTCGAATAAATCGATCTATCATATGGTTCGGAGATCTTCGTTCGATTCACTTGATATTACTAAAATAGGATAAAAGTATGGTTTTGGTGATGATCCATCGAAACTTTAATCTCTTCTGACAGCTATGTTAAGTGAAGATATAATTTAGTGATTGTTGGAAAGTGTTAGCTGTTCTCAACATGTGTTCATCGGAACATGTTTAGAATGTCACAAAATTAAGTTTGTATTCAAAAGACATTGCAGAGAATGATATCTCATGAAAAAACGAATGCAGAAGAGACAAATATATTAATTGAATTCGAGATTAATAACTGTGCTAATGTCGAAATAGATTAAAACGTCGTTCATAACGATAAAGAGAATCGAAAAAACGACGTAAGTAGCGGGATTTTAGAAGATCACAATTAGTCATGAACACACTGAAATGATTTTATTGATTGATTGATTTGCTTTTATGTGGGATGAACTATTGGAGATTAAATAGAATAGGAAGATGAAATAACGTTTTTTAATGATAAAAACTGTAATATAAATCTTTTTTTCTTGTTTACTAGCTTGTAATAGTACATTTCTTAATCAAACTACTTACGCAGTTGGTAAATATCCAAAATCAGTAGCAGTAGCGGATGTGAACAGCGATAATAAACTCGATATTATCATTGCAAATATGGCTTCACACACCATCAGTGTTCTTCTCAACGCAGACAGCGGCACTTTTTCTCCTCAAAATAATTACTCAGTTGGCACAGGTCCACTATCAGTAGGAGTAGTTGATGTGAACAGCGACAATAAACCCGATATTGTCGCCGCAAACCATATATCAAACACCATCAGTGTTCTTCTCAACGCAGGCAACGGCACTTTTTTTCCTCAAATCACTTACGCAGTTGGTGTAAGTCCATATTCGGTAGCAGTAGCCGATATAAACGCCGACAATAAACCCGATATTGTTACTGCAAATATGAGATTAAACACCGTCAGTGTTCTTTTCAACACAGGGAACGGCACTTTTTCTTCTCAAACTATTTACTCAGTTGATGCACAACCATATGCACTAGCGTTAGCCGATGTGAACAGCGACAATAAACCCGATATTGTCGTCGCAAACCATATATCAGGCACCATCAATATTCTTCTCAACATAGGCAATGGCACTTTTTCTCCCCAAGCTACTTACGCAATTGGTGCAGATCCAGTGTCAGTAGCAGTAGCCGATGTGAACAGCGACAGTAAACCCGATATTGTCATTGTAAGTTCGACTCCAAGCACCGTCAATATTCTCTTCAACAGAGGCGATGGCACTTTTTCTTCTAGAATTACTTACTCGATTGGTCAAAATACAGTGTCAGTAGCAGTAGCTGATGTGAACAACGACAATAAACCCGATATTGTTATCACAAGCTATAATTTAAACACCATTAGTGCACTTCTTAACACAGGCAACGGCACTTTTTCTTCTCAAGTTACTTACAAAGTTGGTTTAAATCCACATTCAGTAGCAGTGATCGATGTAAGTAACGACAATAAACTCGATATTATCGTCGCAAACTCTGGTGCAAACACCGTCAGTGTTCTCCTACAATGTTAAAATTTATTTCTTCATCATATTCAACGTATTTATTGATATTTCCTTACTCTACCAACAACATTATACTATGATTAACCACTTAACAATATGGAGCGAATAACACTGTTCGTTTGATACCAAACTTTTCATAAAACTTTCCCATTATTAACCTTTCACTCAAACTCATTAATGCTTACACTTTCAGCTTCTTGTACTGTTTTTTTGCTTGAATCAATGGAAACTAAACTGATCCTATCTTTTGATGAAAAGAGTAGTTTGAGTACATAGATGAAGATGTGATTGGAATGTGGATATAAAGACTCATATCAGTCTCTACACCTACAGTCACCGATACATTGACCTTCCCCAAACTCAGTAATAGTGGACACTTATGAGAAGTGCTGACTATTAACCATCAAGTGATTAGTTTACAAGTTTGATCACATTTTGCAATTGCTTTCATTGTATGTCATTTATCACTAACAAATATATTCAATTAAACACTTCAGTTTGTATATATTGTTGATACAGAAAATAGTCTTAACAGAGCCTTCTTGAGACAGCTACACTCACATCCCATTTGTTTTGAACGATAAAAAAGACTATTTCCCTAATAGAGAACAATATTCTATGGCATTATTATCTGACAGCACACATTTATAAATGAAAGTCTCTGTTGCGTGTCTTTCTTTCTTATCTAACACAAGGAAACTTTACTTGTTCAGACATAATAATGTAACCGTGAAGGTCTTTTCTATAATACATATCTTTTCAATATGTATTATTTACCTTACCGGTGAGTGTTGCTGCTCATATTGTGTTCTTAACGAGAACAGAGTTTCAACAGACACATTTTCTTTCTCATCATTTTTATTTACTTTCAAAAAAAATATAAAAAGAAATTATAATACTTCTATCTATCTATTTTGAAGACATGAATAAAAGACAGAAAACAAGTTGATTATGTACATTTTGATATTTTATATTGAGTCAAAGTTCATTTTTTTAATAATCAATATGTTTGTGTTATCTTTTAGAAGTAGCTTATATTCGACTAAAATTTATTTCTGAAAACTATCACATATTATCTTATGAAACACTTGCATAAAGAACTTCACTGTTTATAATTTGTGACCAACTTTTTCTGCTTAGGTTAAAGCAGTAAAGAGAATGCAATTTATTTATGAACAACCATTCTCTTCACTATATATGGCAGTAGAATTCAAATTAAGTTTTTTATCAAATTATTAATATAATCGTTGTATGAAATATATTTGTATTTTATTATGAGATTATGTTTCTGTTGAGCTTTAAGCTAGCGATATTTACAAACGAAGAACATATGATGATCAATTATTAAAATAAATCATAACTTAGTTATATTCTAATTATTCACATCCACCCACATCCTCGAGATATAAAGGTAGTTAGCTTATATGAATACCTAGTGCCACTACTCATATTATCAGTTGCAGTTTGCTTTTCTTCGCGTCGCATTAATAAAAAAAAAGTATATCTATATATAGTATTCTCAAGCCAAAAATCTTAGAGCAACTGTCACCAATGAAATCATAAATATGAATCACTGTTATACGAATTTTCAAGGTCGATGTAAAATGTCACATATTTTTTAAATGATTGAGTGAATTATTTTACTAGAATTATTTATTAAGAATGAAAGATGCAACAGAAAATTAAATATTCTTATATTAGGGTTAGATAGTGTCTATGAATTGAACTGAAGATCTTTACTGAAAAAAAACTTCTAGTTTTGTCAATGATGTAATGTAGTATTTCTCATTGTTAATGGTGAATTGTGTACGGAAGCATTTGAATTCAATACTCTTGATGGAATATTCTTCTGTTCATTTTGTTGTTTCAAACCCGATTTCACATTTGAACGAACAGATGTTGTACTACTGAAGCTTTTCAATCGTTGTTGTTGATTAAATCTAGCGGGAATACGTCGTTGACTTAGATTAGTATGGTTACTAACTATTCCTGTTGAACGAGCTCGAAATATTTGAGTCTTATTTGTAGGTATTGATGAATTGTTGGTAACAGATTTTACTAATGAATCTTGTAAAAGAATACGGCGACTACCATTATTGGGAATAGTATTATTATTTTTACCACCTTGAATATAAGAATGAAATTTTGGATTGATAATTCGATTATTTGTCTTATTCATAACACGATTACCTTGATGAAACATCATAGGATTATTAAGAGATCGATTTTGTTGTTGATATATATTTCCTCTAGAACCGTATGGATAAATTATTTGACCATTTTGTGTATTATTAGTAATATTGCGATTAAGATACTGTCGTTGCATTAGAGCTTGTTGTAAAGGTGAACGATTTGTGTTATTCTTCGAACTAACATTATTTCTTGATTGATTCTGTTGATAAAATTTAGTTTTTCCACTGTTAACAGTTGAATGATAATTCTTCACTGATTTAGTTACTGGTTTTGGTTCTTCGTCTGATCCAAAATTGAACCATGAAAAAGCTGTTATTAAATTGACGCAAAAACAAAGTATTAGAAGGATAAGGACAATCTTCATGGTGCCTCTTTGTCTTTTAAAGAAATAAATACTATGAATGATAAAATCGTTTCGCATTTTTTAACTAATCATAAAAAAAAGAAAAAAAACTTAATTGATACTAACAACAAGCTGCTTCATCCTACAACGAATATTATAGAAAGATCCCATGAGAAATATCACTATCGATTAAAATGTAAAAGAATATTCACCACTACAATTATGTCCGTCTGTCATTTAATTTGTTCTAGTAAGTTCGATGTAATAAAGAAAAAACATCATTAACATTATAAATAGCAATATATATGATAGTTTAAAATAAAAATTGTTTATTTAGTTTCCATATAATATAATACGACCTATTATGCTCATTTAAATCACTGTATTTTTTCGATAGTCGTATTAATTCGAAATCGATAAGATATTTATGAGCAAGTAAAAAGAAAAAAAAAAGAAAAATTTTGGTAGATTCAAAGTATGATATCCACCGGAAATATTACAATATTTTTTTCAGTCATTTTCAAGAGAGTGTGGTATAAGTACGAGCATCAGGAGAATTTGCATGAATTAATCGTCCAGGCTCATGAAGTAAATCAACAATCCATGTTTTAGCTGGATATCGAACACCCTAAAATATTCAAATAATTATAAATATATATTTAATAATAAAAGAAAAATAATTAGCAAAATTCGAATAAACATACAAATTCAATAGGCTTTTCTATCTATTAAAAATAAATAAACGATGATTACGATAATAATTAATCTATTATTTATTACAACTAGATGATCAGATTTTAAATATATATTTTCTAGTTTTCTTAATGATTCGTGTATTTCTTCAATTGATTTATTAGAATTTTTATCCTATGATTTTAATAGATATTAAATAAATAGTTTAATAACATACTGCAGATGATTCTCCAAGAAGAACTTCATTCCAAGCACGATTATAATTTCCTCGTACTAATGTACATGATATTCCAAGTCGATCAGCTAATGTCTATATTATAAAAAATTTGTTTTTCAATTATTTTTCTTTTTTCTTTTGCGTTTATTTACCTTGAATAAAAATGCTCGTTGTGCATAAATACCTTTTCGTATTCGACCAATCGGTACAATATTTGAATGAATTTCTGCTTTTAATTGAATCATTGCGACTTCATATCCAAATGTAGTTACATCATCAGATGCAATTGTACCACCCATTTTGTCACTTACAAATCTTTAGAATAAACAATTTAAGTTATAAATATAAGAAAAATAATTTTATATTTACTTTGCTAATATAGGTATTTGTTCTGCTAGTGGTTTTTTTGTTATTTGTGGACGAATTTCATCGAGATATATTAGAAAATCTTGATCAGATGTTGGTTGATACCCTACTTTCTTTATTATAAGAAATAAATAGATTTAAAGGTCTATATAGAATTTCAAAAAAATGATTTTTCTACCGAATCAGTACCACTTGTTACGGATGAATCAACTTCAGCATTCTTTTTATCTTCAGCCGCAGCTTTTTTATCAGTTGGTTTTTCTTTTTTTGTTTTACTAAAAATAAAATACATATCTATATAAATGAATATATGATACATAACACAAAAATATGTTAGTGAAAGTGTGAGGAAAGATATTTATATTACAGTTAATTGAAGCAAATATACTTTCGATTTTAATATTATTATCATACCTCGTTTGATTTACTGTACTATAGATTAAATATACAATATTAAATAGAAAAAAAATAAAGATAAAAAAGCTTACGCTTTGCTTTCTTTTTCTTTGGTTGATCCTTTCACTGTTTTTGAAGTACGGCTAGCAGCAGCAGTACTACCTGCTTTTTCTTTGCCTTCTGAGCTTTTCCTTTAAATAAAATAAAGAATTTTACCATAAAACTTTATTTAATCGATAATAAATCAATGCTTACGATGGTGTTGTTGCTCTTGCAAGATTTGAATTTGAAGATGATCGCCCTCGAGGACGATCATCTTCTTGAGCGACTTCTGTGGTAGTAGTATTTAACTGTGTAGTACTAAATAAAAAATTAAGAAATACCAAAACTCACACATATTGTTTAACAATATGTGTGCTATGGAAATAAAAAAGAGAAGGATAGATTTTCGAATATTGTCTTAAGTATCTGCAAGTGATACAACATTGATCTTATGCAAAGCAAAAATGTGGGAAGATAGAATGTGGAGGTATGCGTGTAATATTGAGCAAATAAATAGAATTATTTATTTTCTCTTACTTTTTTTCTGGTGCATAAACAATTAATATTGGTCGACGATCATTCACTTCTTGGGCAGCAAGTTCTTCAATTGTTAAAAATTTTCCACCCTCTGGAACAGGTCCCATATCATAAAATCCATCTGTTGTTATATTATTACTTTCTTGAAAAAAACAAAATATTTTAACATAAAAATCATACAATATTTCTAACCTAATCGTCCAAGATAAGAATATTTTGCTGATAATTGACTATCAAGTATTCTTTGTAAAGCCATTTCAGTAAATTTACTCTTACGAGATTCCGATGCATTTATATCACGTAAAATTTCAAGTGCTCTATATCAATATTAAATAAAAAAACGACAAATTTTCTATTTTATTTTTAATACCCATTTCGAAGAATTTCCATTGCAATAGTTTGATCTGCACATAGAACACTGATAGCAAAACAAGCATTACGACGAACTTCATCATTATTTGATTTCGATAAACTAACAAGTCGTGGAATAATCGCTGCATTACTTAATACTTCTGGTCGAGCTTTTTGATCAATACCAAATGCTGATAAAAGCATAGCTGCTTTTGCTTGTGTTGTTTCATTACTAAAAGAAATATTTTATAATGAAAATAAAATTTGAAATTCTATTGAATACTTGGCATGTAATGGTGCAAGTAGATTAGTTATTAGACCTTTATCCAAAGCATTTGTACGTACAACTTGATCAGTTGAACAATTAGCCAATGTTGCACATGCATAAGCTTTAGTTGAATCTTTTTCATCATTTAATAAATGAATTAAAACTTCAAGACCTCCTTGTTCTTGTAATTCTCTATACAAAAAAAACAATTACAAATATTTTTTGCTTTTTTTTGGCTTAAATAATTTACCTAACATTATTTGGATTACTTTGAGTTAAATTCGACATAGCTAATGTCGAAAATTCACGTAAACGTGGATTATCTTTTTGCATCATTTGTACAAGTGTTAGAATACCATCTACATAAATATATATGATATAAATAATGGAATGAAAGGAAAGAAAAACGAACCATGATTCCGAATTGTTTCTCGACTTGTTATACTTTCAGCCATAACTGCTAAAGCTTGACAAGCAGCTATACGTACGTCATCACTTTCACTAAGTAAAAGACAAACCATAGCACGTTCAGCATCTTGTTCAGAGAAAATTTTTCGATTCTGTGCTAAAATTTTAAATTAAAATTATTTCCAAAATATTAATTTATTTTTATTCGTACGTTTTCTTGCTGCACGTCCAATCGCTTTTGCTGCTGCTGCTTGTACAACTGGTAAAGCACTATCTTGTACAAATTGCATTAATCGTTTAAGACCACCATTTGCTTGTATAAGCTAAAAATATTTAAAAAGAAAATTTTTCTTAAAAAAAAATAATGTAAATTTTCTTTTAACAAACATCAAGACATTCGGTATCTTCTAAAAGATTTGCTAATGCATTTAAACAATGAACATGAACATCTTTCGTATCATCTGCTCCAATAAAATCAATCATTCGATCAAGTCCACCAATATCTCTTATAACAACACGATTATTTGGATCTGTAGCTAATTTTTGTAAACAATTACAAACAGTTTCAGTGATTTGTGGATAATCAGATTTAAGATTATTTAATATTGGTTCAATTCCATTTAATTCTCGAACAATACTTCGTGAATTAAAATCATCAAGTATACGATCAATAGTTGATAATGCATTAAATTTAAGATCAGGATCATTTTCATTTATCAGTCGTATTAATGGTTGTAAAACATTTAATGAAGCTATTTGGGATTTAGTAGAAAAATGACTACACATATGACGAAGCCATAAAACAGCAAATTCACTTGTTAATGGTTCACCTATTTTAAATTATTAAAATTGATTAAATGAAAAAACACGAAAAACATACGTTCAGATGATAAAAGTGATATCATATGTGGAATACAATCGATTTTACGAAGATATTGTCGAACATCCGCTGAAAAAATAAAAAATTTGTATTAATTAAAATGGACAATAATAATTTACGATGAGAAGCCATTAATCCAAAGACCATTGTTGCATTTCGTTGTACAACTTGATTTTCATGATGTGTTAATGCAAATAAAGTATCAGTTGCACCCATTTCATGTAATAATAATTTATTACCATCACTTTTATCAGCAAATTTAAATAATGAATCACATGCTCGAATTAAAACAGTATCTTCAGTACTTTTTAAACATACAACAGCTGTTTGAGCTCCTTTTACATCAAGTTTTATTGGCTCGAACTATTAAAAAATACATATATAAAGCATGATAATAATGATAAATATAATACAACTTACAGTTTCATCAATTGCCTTTTCTTCTGGTTGTTTACCTTTGCCTCCTTTAGCTCCTTTAGCTCCTTTTGCCCCAGCAACTGATGCTTTTCCACCAGCAGCTGCTGCTGGAGTTTTACTATCCTTCACCATTATATTTATTTTCTAAAATAGATAAATATATACATATAAGAATGAACAAAAAAAACATTGCAATTTTTTCAATCAAATCAACGACTGATTGTTTGTAGGTGAGACATGTAGTAGAACTACGGCAACCGCTTAACAACCATTTTCAATGTTATATATTTTTGATTGCTTATCAACAGACAAAATTAAATCAAAATGAAATATTTCTTTATTGTATTACTAAAATATTTTCTAGATTTATTCGAATTCTAATAAAATAAAACTAAAATTTTATTTTAATAGATGTCGTTTATCAATGTAAAATAAATCTTATTCGACCTTTCGTTCTCTCAATAATAAAAATATTTTATTTTACAAGAAGTTTTATTCTGAAGAAAAAAAAACTAATTGCATTTTTTTTATTTTATAGTAAAGTTTATATAACATGTCAATTAGGATTAGTTTTCTTTCGTAGATTCTCAATATAGACTTCTAAATTATTCAGTTCTTTTTTTAATTTAGCCATTTTCATAAGTGATCGTTTAACTTCTTCAATTCGTCGTTTATCTTTTGCTTCATATTCAGTTTTTAATTGAGATAAATAAATTAATGATGGTATAAGATAAATTGATGCACCATCATTTATAATTGATTCAATTTCATCCATTGATAATTGACGTTCACCAGTTAAATAATCAATTATTAAACTAAATCGTTCAGCATTTCCAGATAAAATTATTGCACCATATTTATCTCGTTTTGTTATACCTCGAAAAAGAATTCGAAAATAAATACTTTGAGATGCAAGTAAATATCGATCAACTTGAAAATAATAACCATCGACATTAAGAAGAATATTTCCAACCTTTCGTGGCATATTGTCGTGAGTAATGTGCGTATGTTAAAGAATACGACAGAAATATTTGCTTTACAAATGCGTGATGACGGCAATAGGTACACAGAGACGTATGCATTGATTTACCCAACAATCATCAATAATATGTCGTTAAAATTCAGGATAGAAAAAAAAAACTATGGTGTAATTTTAAGCATAGACACCCACTTTATGATAAGAGCAGTAGTTCTATTGAAGACATTTTCTTTTTTCAATCAATAAATAAATGAATTTTATGACAACCTGTCATAAAATTGTTGTTATAAGACTATTCTCACATGGACACGTTATGAATCGTTATCCTTGCAAGGTCAAAATAATATTTGGTTACTTAGAGAAAAAAAATAGATGTAAAAGAACTATGTCAAACATAATTAAAAAAAATATCATCAAAAACAGAATTCAATATTTTCTGTATAGAAATAGTTCAAATATATATATTGATTTCAATGAAAGATGATCTATCTTTGATGCCTCAAATGATTTCTAATTTTATCTATGTCCTATTTTGAACAAATTACATTTCTTTTCCATATAATTATCTGAATGATTTGTACATAGAATATCTCTATTAGATATTGATAGAGTTTAACGTAAATAAACAATATTTATCAGTAAGAAAAATTCATATGATGATGCAGCTGATAGGAAAGATAATCATATCTTCTTCATTGAGAATATTTTCCTGTTATTGATAGAAATAAAAATATACGCAAAGTGCAAAATCATCGAGTCAAGATGTCTGCATAATAGAGAGAAAAAAAGAAAAGCAAATACAGATATTTTTTTTATTATAGCCGATACATTATATCAATAGTCATAGGGAAATATTTTAATTCAATCAATTGCATTCGTCTTTGTTATTTATACATCAAAATATATGACTCATCTGGATTTACAATACGATCATTGTTATCTCTGTTTGTTTTCCCTTGACGCTATTTTAAGAACATTATCTTTTTGTAATTAGCAAAAACGTAGCCGCAATCATAAATGAGTCAAAATAATAACACATTCTTTATTGACAGCTAATAATACATGACAAATCTAAATTATCTTTATTATATACTAACAAATACATCAATTAATCTTTAATATTACTCGATAAAAATCTTTTCTACAAGTTAAAACATATTCCCATTACATAAGTAATTTTGATCAGATAACAATGATATTACTATATAATAATTATGTTTTTATTATCATTTCTTATCTATTAATACATTAAGATTCATTTTAAATTGATCAAATTCAAGACTATATAATAATAACAGTCTTGATTGAAATTCTTTTGTTCAATGATATATGAAACAATGTATACATTAATGAAGGAAAAGCACAAAAATAAACTATAATAAGAAAAAAGAAAGAAAAAAGAAAAAAGAAAAAGCTGAAATAATAAACTTTCATTCTTGTAAAAAAGAACTATTGCTTTCTTTTCTGTCATCTTTTTCGGTATGAATTAACGTTGTAGAAGGACACTGACTTCGCCTAGTATTGCCTTCAAGCGATGTCGATACATTACCATCAAGCGCAACAGTCGAAGTTGAAGATAGACGTGCTATTGCCTGTTTTGGTATCTGTTTATCTCTTATTGTCGTTGTATAATTGATATTCGTCGACGTACGTTGCTGTTTACTTGCAGCTCCTGGCAATGATGCCAATGTGCGCACAGTCGTCGCTACGCCACTCGTTCGTAAAAATGAACGCTCATTTGTCATTAATTCTTTTCCACCAATACCATGTTGTCCTTTATAACACCATCGACATAATTGATGAAATATTAAACGACGAAATTCTGTACGAAATCTTGCTCCACTAATAAAATATAAAAAAAAATTAACCACATGCATTAAATCCGATGTTATATTTGATATAAGATAGACAACAGCTGATGTTCGTACATATTTATCAAGATTTCGATATACATTATCATCACAATTTACAGCTTTCCAACTTTCAATTAGAACACGTAAAAATATGAGCAAATAATAAATAGCATTTGGTAATGTTAAAACAAAAAATGATATTGAAATTGTTATAAGCATAATTGTTATTTGAAGATTTTGTGATTGCATACGAGCACGACTTGTTGCTGATGAATTTACATTTGATGAACGAAATTGACTTTTATTTGATGATGTTTTAAGATAATTACTTGTTGAATTACGACCATTAACTGATGGTCGAATTAAAGATGTTGTATTACAAGAATTAGTTGCTTCATGTAAATAGGATGCTTCACGTCGTGCACGAAATAAGGCAACAAATATGGCAGCATTCAATATAGATATAACACAAAATGGAATAAAGCAGCAAAAAAATGCATCAAGTATAAAAACAAGTTTTTCATCTTGTGATGTTTCAAGCCAACAATATGCATTATTTGTTAATACAGTTCGACTAGCATGTACAGATGCAACAAGCATTGAACACGTTATTACAGCTATAACAACTAAATAAGCTTTTTTTCTTGATAAAAGATCTGATACACGTAATGGTAAACAAACAGCAAGAAATTTATCCGCGTTCATAGCAGCTATAAGCCATACTGAAACGAAAAAGAAAAAAAAAGGAAATCCCGAAGAATAATAAATCAATATTGATGACACAAGATCTATAATTGACAATAATGTTTGTATAAAAAATAAAAAAAAGAAGCAAAATTATATTAAACGAAGAATTGGTCTAACTATTAATACAGCTGTTACTCTCTATTCTCTCTTTTGTTCTTTTATTCATTTTTCTTTTGGTCCGGAAACTCGATAAAAATTTATTGAATATAAGAAGAAGAAGAAGAAGAAAAAAGAAATCTTACCAGTTGTATAATTAACTGCATTGACCATAAGAAAAAGAAATTTACATAAACCAGTTGTTAAAATTTGTTTACCAGTTGTTGAACTTGATAATTCACCAAAAATAACACGTAATGCAAAAAAAGCTACATCACATAATGCTAATGTTTGCATATAGAAAGCTATTGATGATGAACGATTCATACGTGTACGTCTTAAAATATAGAAAGCACATAAATTTAAAACAATAGCTGGTAAAATAAAAAATCGATTTAAATTTTGTGATATATAACGAACTATATTGAATAAAGGTTTTTGTGATATATAATAATATTTGATTTGTGTACATGATAAATTTGTATTTTTTAATGTTGTTGGATCAGTTATTAATAATGATGAAAATGTTGTATTTAATGTTATATTATCATCAAATATTGATAATGGTGTTGAAAATGTTGGAACAAAATATATTAAAGCTGCATTTTCATTTAATGATGTTATATTAGAAGATGATGAAGGATAATACATTGTTTTTTTACCCGCATACCGTTCTTACAAATCTATAATGATATTCAATAACTTATTCTTATTCGAAATAATATTGACTATTTAACATGCGTCATTCATTTTTCTTCTATTATAATACTTTCAGTACGATATATTTAAAGCAAGAAAAAAAGTGGATGAATTACTGAGCAGCCTTTGAATATATCTCATCGACATCAATCAATTCTACTCGATTAAGCAGAAGACAACAATAGAAAAAAGAAGTTGTTATACAAAAAGAGACTATTTTCCACAAAACATACATATATATAGAGAAGAAGGGAGAGGGAAAGAGCGCGCGCGAGAGAGAGAGGGAGAGAAAGGAATAGATAGATGTTTGTATTAGATATTTTTTTTTGATTATATAAAAAAAATATAGAAAAAAAAAATTTTGACATTATATTGATATGTTAGCAAAAACAGATATGTAATGAAATTATACTCTAGATAGATGTCTATTATAATCCACTAAATAAAGATACGATCATAAATACAGAAGGATAAACGAGAGAGAATGAGAGACTATAACTGGGCGTTATATAATCTAGTCTAGTAAGCAAGCTGACAAGTTGAATTATAAGCTTACTTTATCTCAGTCAATTCAAATACGAAAATAGAAGAAAAAAAACATGAGAAGAATATTGTTAATTCAAGATTTACTTCGGCTATTTTCAAGTAAAAGAAAACGAGATAGATTCGCCTGTCATTCTTTCTCTGTACTTCTCTTTCTGCTTTTTTTTCTGAATAGCAGAGAGGACCTGCTTGTCTTTCGTTCTTTTCTCTCTCTCTCTCTCTCTCTCTCTGTCACTATTTCAGCGAAACCAGATCGCCGTTGAGGGAATATACAAAAGGAGAGAGAGAGAGAGAACTCAAAGATGCGAAACTCAATCGCATCTATGTCGTTATTATCATCAACATCTTGGCATTTATAGACATAAAAATCAGAAATATGAAGAGAGAAAGATCGACATTACAAATAACTATTTTTGAGAATTTGATAACCAAAAATCTATTTACTAATACACTTGTACAAACTTTTCAAAGAATAACAATGAATATCGAATGATTTTAAATCAGAGCAGAAGAAGAAGAAGAAAACGGACAGAATACAAATATATAACTAAAAATAAGAATAAGCTGAAAACAGAAATATTTATACATTTGAAGGATATGACGATGATGATGACAGCGGAAATGATTTTTCATTAGTTTTCTTTCTTTTTTTTGTCTATGATGTACAAAAAAAATTGGTCACAATATATACACACGTTTTCAAGAGGGTAATTGCACGAACGAAGACAATACAAGAATGACAACGACGACGATGAATTTCTTTTGAGTATGTGTTTGCTAGCGTAGCCGTGCGGACCAGTTGTCACACGACTGACGATAATGATGATGATGATGACGATGATGATGATGCGAATATGAATACAACTTGTGTTTTATGCCTATAGTTTCCATCAATGACATTCCCGTTCTCGCTCTCACATATATATATACCAAAAACAATAATCAAACATCTCAAGAATCTCAATATTATAACGAACTATTCACAAACAAACAAAAAAAATATCGATTTATTGTTCTCTACGATCGTCTGTATTCTTCTAATGAATCAAACGTTCTCGTCTATTTTATAGGTAATTATTACATGTCATCCATATTCATTCAATCATCGAAATTCTTTCTGCCAAAGATATATTACTAACAAAAGACTATCTATTCTGTGATGTTCTCGTTGTTAATACTAATACAGTTACTGTTTTTTGTTGTTGTCATTTTTATCAAGTAACTACGAAAAAGAATAGCGAAAAAAAATGAAGTATACTTCATTTATTTAAAAAGCTTTCAATTAGATACAGAATTAATCTCTTCACTTCCGTCATTGCCTAGTGTTACATGCAAAAATTCTATATCAAGTCAGGCGATCATTGTCAACAGATAGGTTAACTATTGCATTCAAAGAAAAATAAATCTTCTTGACTTTATTTAATAGTTCTTTATTTTTATTTCATATTGATAATAATCATACAGCAATATTAATAAAAGTCAAAATAGTATTATACTATGGAAAAACAAAGCTTACATACTTGAGATTAAACACTTACATACATTAATACCATCATTTTAAATATCCTTCATCAAAAAAAAAGATCAATGTAGACTGTAGGTGTGTCTGTTATTGTAACAAAATACTAGTTCTTAAAGTATAGGCTTTGCATCTTTCATATAAACATCAGGAAAATATATATTTAATTGAAATTAGTTACAAAATGTACTCTAATATTATCATTGTAAACGGATACACGCGTCTATGATTCAAGAGAAATGTTAAAAAAAACGTCTTGGCTTTGAACATCGTAACAAAAATATTTGAATCTTATATTATGATAGGTGACAGGTGTATTTTTTACTACGTATTGTAGGCATGATAATGATAGAAGGGTTGTATATATACATATATGTGTGTATGTGTATGTGAAGATCTGTTTTCTTGTCAAAATACAGTAGATTGGCATTTTTTTGCTATGATACACAATTTCTCCTTGTTTATTTCATTTGCCCTATCTGTTTTTGCGCACGACTGACAATAATTAATACGTGTGTATCCAGAGAATAAGAAAAAGAGAAAGTAATAAGAAAAAAACATATTTAGGGAATTCAAATTAGTCGTCGACAATTGCAATATTTGATGAGTTACTTTGTCCATCTGCATGTGTTAATATATACTGATGATGATAGGAGAAAGACTAATTCACTTTCTCTCTTCCCCCTCCCTCCCTCTCTTTTTTTCTATAAAAAAAATTACTCTCATCAAGAAAACACATCAACAGTCATTGTCGAATATGCTGTTTTCTTTAAATTATTTTTATGTATTGAGCAAAACCGACTCTATGCATACATAAGTGACTTTGTCCTCATCAATGCAATAGAAATATCCTATTTTGTCTCTTTGTATGACATATGAATGTTGTGAAAAGGTTTCTCTCGCTTTGAAACAAACCAGAAGAGAGAATCAGAAAAACACAATCATGTTCGAGTCGAGATCAGATTTAACAACGAATATAAAAGAGAAAATAATAGAAGAAGAAGAAGAAAAAAAACCTAGAAGAATATGGCCATTTTTCGTATATTGATGATAATCAGTCAAATGGAGTCGAAAGTCTGGCGGCATGCGTGCACACGCTGATGTTAGTTTGCATCGTCAATTTCACACCCTGTCATTGAAGTCTATTTCGTTAGAAACAGTAGAAAGAACAGTAGTCATACGATGAAGAAAAGACTTACAAAACAATTAGAATAACAATGAGATGCTAAATTGAATGCTGGCAAGAAAAAAAAAAGAAGCGAAATTCAATCTCATACGCACATTCAACCGTCGTTCATCATTATCGAAGAGCTTGTCATAAAATCAGTCTTGTCTTCTTTTATAGAATCTATCATAAAAAAGAAAAGAAAATCTGACTATTGAATAAATAAAACAAAACAAAATAAAAAAAATATTATTTTTATTATCAATCTAAAATACTTGAAAATTTAATTACAATATTAATTATCCATTTTTATGACAAAAATAAAAAAAAAAGTATATGCTTCGACATTTTTTCTTTTATATTAATTAATTTTTAATATATTCTTTCAAAAAAAAATGTTTAGAAACTATTTTATAAAAGATTGTCATACAATATTAAATAATTCATTTAACTTTAACTATACATTATAGTTGTAAGTAATTCTGTTTAGAACTTTTTCCGTTACATGACTCTTACTATCGTTTGAGTTTCCGTACTCTTAACTACAAGCATATATACTTGAGAATAGAAAAAATAATTGATTTGTTATGAATTCTCAAGTATGTTGTTCTTTCGCTCATATACAAGTTATTCTTGATGGTATGTATTATCGTACAACCGAAACAGAAATAGTAATAGCAACTGAATAAAGAAATACATTCTCTGCTTTTGTAATTAATCAAAAATTAGTCTAATCAAATCGTTTTGTTAATAAAAAGATCGATAAATTTTCCCATGTATTTTGTTTTTTGTCTTCTTTCTCTCGATATGAAAATGATGATTATTTTTCTTCAAATCATTATATATCAACATCAACTTAGTTTCAGTAAATATAACATAGAAGATATATTTAATGGGTTGGAAAAAAAGAATAATTTTAACTGTCGACACTTGCAACTTTTCTTATCCATCAGACTTTCTATTGTCAATCAATATCAATATAGACACTATATGCCTGCATATGTCCAACGTATGTTCTTAATGATTAAATGATGGAACGGCTGGATGCTTGTCTAACACAAGGTCATACAAAAATGATGCATTAGATATTCGTTGATGAGAAAGTTATTGGTAGAATGATATCATCTGTTGCAATGGTACTTCCTATATGATCAGTACTCGATCTATGATGAATTGAACCACTATCTGTTGCTGTTATTAAAGGTGTTTCTTCAAGTGAAATTTCAGCATAAGACGGTGGTTCTTTTTCTAAATAAATAATAAATAGATATTTTTTAGTTTTTGAATTTATTAAATCGAACCTTTTCCATCAATTTTATATAATGTAAATCGAATTTTATTTTTATGTATAAGTACTTTATCAATATTAGCTGCAACCAAAATATAATCATGTCCATAGACATGATTTTCAGCAACTAATTCTTGTGCAACACTCACTGGATGATCAATATTTGGTTGATATTTAAATGAAATTAATGAAAATGCTAAACGTCCTGGTTCTTTTATTTTTAATTTTATTGATAATGATAATTCTTGATTGATAACTGTTTTGGAATCAATATTCACATCTAATTTTCGATCAATATCCTTCAAAATATAAATCCTCTCATAAGCTTTCCTATACAAGATTTTCTACTCAAAATTAATGATTGTTACTTTGGTGTTATAAATAGATACTTCGAACAGAAAATTGTATTAATATATACTCGGAATGTTATAGTCACTATCTATGATGAAAATTTCAGCTTGAATGGTAAAAGTATTGTTTGTATGAGCATGAAAATCAATTAATGATATGATTAATTCTACTTACTATTTTCGTTGAATATATATTGAGAATGAAGTCTAATAATAGTAACAATGAATAGATATTTTATTGAACTTAAAAATCAAGTTCAAAAATGACTTTAGTCATATTATTAATTAATTTTCATGCAAAGATCTATCCTTATTATGTTCCTAAACAAAAACTTCTTTACTTGCGCTAATTTTTGTGATATGGGTCTAAAAATAATCATCAATGAAAATATGATTTAAAAAAAAAGAAACTAATTTTCTACCGAAAAAAATTTCTTATATTATCTAAAATTGTATTTTCTGTTTGTAAACCACGTTCTTTAATTGTTGTTTGTATTCTATCTTTAAATTCATCAGATTGTAGATCAATATCAATTTGTTGTTCAATACAATCAAATGGAATTTTTAAAATCATATGATCAATAATAAATTTTTTATCTTGAGCAAATTTAATTAAAAAATCTGTTTGTAATAAATTCGATGGAGTTGGACGTTTTGAAGCTAATGGTTCTAGTATCATTAAAAGAAAATGACGAAATTCATTTCCATATTTTATATATTGTCCTTCACGTTCAGCATTGGATTCTAATGTTGGTCCTTTTGTATCTTTACATATAATACGAAATACTTCTTGAGCTGATTTTTTATAATAAGGTGGATGCCCTGTAGCACATTCAATACCAACAATACCTAAAGCCCATATATCTACTTTATTATCATAACCAGCTGATGAAAACATTTCTGGTGCAATCCTAAATTTACATTTTTTTTTTAGTTTTGAAATTTTATCGATAAATTACCAATAAGGTGTACCAACAAATGTATGAGCAATAGCTTTTTCTCGTGTAGATGAATCAGTAAGAAAAGCGCTAACACCAAAATCAACTAGTTGAATACTTCCATCATTTTTACACATTATATTACCAGCTTTAATATCTCTATGAATATATTGTTGAGAATCTAATCAAAACAAAAATTCTCTTTAAATTAATCGAATAAATAAAATCAAAAAATTTTTACGTAAATATTCAAGACCCTTAAGAGTTTCACGCATAACAGTAGCTATTTCACGTTCATCTAATACACCAAGATACCAATCATTTTTATCTCGAATTCTTTTTTCAATAATTTGTCGTATACTTCCACCATCTAATAAATCCATAATAATCCATAATTCTGTTTTATAAACAAAACTTGTTAGAAATCGAACTATATTTTCATGTGAACATGATGCCATAACATGAATTTCACGTACTATATCAATATACATTGATTCTTTAATAGGAATTCGTTTAATAGCAACACGTTTTCGTATTGAACATCCTGTACATGTTGCCCAATGAACAATACCTTTCAAATAAAATAATTTTCTATTCAAATAATCTATCCATTTTACTCACATTACCCGTTGCTCCTTCACCTAATTTTCCACAGATTGTATATAATTCTCTTTTTGATGGCCATTCATGTCGTTCAATATTTAATTCATCTTTTAATCGTTTAATATTCGTATTCGATAAATGATCGTTGGAAATTTCCGTCATTTTCAAACGAGCAATGCACAAGAAAAAAAGAGCAAACATTCCGCGCCAAATGATCAATCGATGAAATCATATAAAATCATTTCCCTATAGCGACATCTATTCTAACCAATAACGGAGGCTAATCATCTATTCAATGATTGGTTCTTATTGAAACAAAGATCATTCGCCACAAACAAAAGCCTCTGTTTATCGTTTGTTTTTTTTCTTCATTTTGACATTGATTCGACATTTGTCTTGAACAATGAATAGTCGCGTTATAAACATTATTCTACCTATTATTGCTATTATTATTTATATATGTATCAATTTTGTGTACATATTTTTTGCAAAAGATCGTTATGCACCAGTTATTGAAAATATTCAAAAAGGTGATAAAATGCAGTTGGATTTTATCGCTGCCGGTGTTTGTTATGCAAGTCAGTAATCATACACTATGAAAACAAAGAAATTTAAATATTCTTTGTTTATCTTAGTTTTGGGTCTTGGATGGTATTTTATTGGTGTAACATTAGCATTAGCATATTTTGATAAATTAAAACAACGTTCACCTACTTGGTCACCATTAGTATCAAGTGCATTAAGTGGACTTGTTGGTGGTGTTGTTTATGGGTAATGTAATATTAATAAATATTAACAATTTAAAACTTATATTTATTTTTTTATAGACTTGTTCTATTTGGTGTTCATAATGCAAGTCTACGTTCATTGTTTTCTAATCAATATCCACTCGATCTTGTTTTACAAGATATAGCATGGGGTGCACTTTATAATATGGTCTTTACAAGTGTTTATATGATTATTTGGCGAAAACTTACAAATCCTGTCGATTTATAAATAAGTTTATATATGGAATTTGTGTTGTTGCTTTTTTTTATATTATGAAATCTAGTCCAGCAGATATTCTATTTGATATATATGATCAATTAGGATTTTTTCATTTATATATATATATTGAAAAATATTCTTTTTGTTGTAGATTAATAACTGTGTGAATCTTTTTGGATCGGGGTATAATGTCAACAAGAAAAACTTCACGACGATCAGGCGGTGGACAATTAGAAGAAACATCAGCTGCTTCCGAAACGTAAGAATAATTTTATTAAAAAATACGTTTATTTATTTCATCAGTTAATTTTAGTGTGGATAGTCTTTGTTCTCAACGACAAATTTCCGATGTGTGTGAAACTGCAGGTCTATCAGAACAAACTATTGGAAAAGGCAATGGAAATGATAACGTATCAGGTCAACAACAAGGTATGGAAGGAATGAATGAAGAAGGAGCAGGTACTGGCGATGAACAACAAGATGCACAATTATCATCATCAAATACATCGACTAGTATTGCTGCAAAAGCTATACCAACAAATGAAGCTGATATGTTATGTACAACAATTGAAAATGTTTCACATGTTCGATTTGAATGGACTGTTGAAGATTTTTATCCTCAAATGTAAGAAATTATCTGTAAATATTGAATGTATTTATTGTTTTTTTCAAAAGGTATGAATGTGGTGATATGATTCAAAGTGAAGAATTTCCACCATATGATTTACAAAAAGAATTTTGGACACTTCGTCTTTATCCTAAAGGTCATCAACGTTTATCTAAAGAACAACAAAATCAAACATCAACAAGTGGTGGTGCTTCAACTACTGATGATGATTCATCAGTACAATTTTATTTAACTTTATGTCCATCACATGTTGCATCTCAACATCCATCAAATACATCAACATCAGCTGCAAATGGTAGTGGATCAAACAATCCAAATCATATTGCATCATCATTAATGAATACATCATCACGTCAACTTCAAGTTTATTTTCGTGCTCTTATTAATTTTTCTAATCCACAAGGTCGTATATTTCATACAGAAACAGTTCATGATTGTGGTGGAAATATTACGGATGAATTAATTATTATGAAAATGACTCGGGCAATATGTGAACAATTATATAAAGATTCCAAAGATCATTTAATTATAAGTATTGAATTAATGTCAATTGATGATATTGCTAAACGTAGTATGAAAACAAGTACATCAAAAGTTCTTGAAGGTTCATCACGTGTTGTATCAAAAGTAATGAAAATGAAATTACGTTGGAAAATAGAAAAATTTGCAACATTAGTTAATGAATCACCAAATAATAGTTTTATTGAATCATGTGAATTTACATTTAATAAACAACGTCCAGGTAATACAACAAATTTACAAACATCAACACCTGAACAAGGTGATGATGATGAACAATTAACAAATGGTGCAAATACAAATGAAACAAAAGCACCTGTAACAACACCTCAAAATGATATTCCACCACACCAATGGTCACTTATACTCTATCCAAGTGGTAAAACTGAACGTTTTAAAGAATCATTATCCGTTTTTTTGGAACATACATTTGGTCCAAGTGTTCGTGTTGTTATTCGTTTTTCATTAATTGATGCACGTGGACGACGAGTTAATACAAAACAATTACCATCACATGTTTTAGCACCAGGTGAACGTTGGGGTGTTGGTGATTTTATTAAACATTCAACATTATTACAAGCTCAACAACAATTATTTCCTGGAAATGAACTTCGTTTATATTGTCAAATAAAAATACTTGAACGACAATCACTTGATGAACGAAAATATATTTCTCGACCATTAGTTGCATTACCACGTACAACTACAAATAAACCAAATTCAACAACAACAATTAGTGATGATCCAGCAACATATTGGCCAACATTATTTTATACAGCTTATTTGGAAAAACGTATGTGTGATATGTATTTAAGATGTGGAAATGAATTACATAGTGTTCATAAACTTATACTTGGTCTTCGTTCAAATGTACTTGCACGTATGATTAAAGAAAAAGAAACAACAACTCATCCAACAGCTGTTAGTCCACCAGCAAAACCAACTCGTCATGGTAAACGAGCAACTGCTTCAGCAGCTAATACAACGAATGAAAGTATGGAAACCGATACACAAGGTGGTAGTGGTACAGATGATTCAACACTTCTTACAATTGATATTAATGATATTGATCGTAAAACAATTCTGTATTTTCTTGAATATGTTTATACAGGTGGCATTAAAAAATTAGCTTTACCAGGTGCTGCTATATCACATACACTTGTTATTGATTTATTAACAATTGCAGCTAATTATGATATGCCTGATTTAAAAACATATGCTGAATATTATCTTAAAGATATTATCCGCGTTGATAATGCTTGGTAAGACTTCTTTTCTTTTTTTTCGCTATCTTTTAAATTAATTTTTTGTTCTTTTAGTGAATTACTTATGTTAAGTGATAATATGAAATCGGAAATGTTAAAACAAACAACATGTGATTATATTGCTAATAATTTAGGCAATGTAATGGAAACAAATGTAAGTTAAAAACGATTTTATTTTCTCAACAATTTATTTATTTTTTTATTCTAGGGTTGGACTGAACTTAAAGCAAAACAACCGGATTTAATTGATACTATCCTTAAATCATGTTTGCTTTTACGTAAATAAAATTCTCTAAGACAATATTAGACATTGTGTTTTTTTCTTTCTTTCTTTCTTTTTTGTTTGTTTGTTTGTTTATGTATTGAACATAGTTCATATGCTCTATTATTCCCATTAGTGCTTGTAAGACATTTCTGTTTTTTTTTGGTACTGTCACATTTGTACATGTGTATGAGATTGTATTCTTAAAACAAGAGAAAACAAACAAATTAGTTTTTTTTTCTTTATTGTGTTGTTTGTTCATTTTTCTTTTTCTGCTGTCTTTATTCGTATAAAATAAAAATATAACATGAAATGAACCAAAAAAACAATATATATATATATATGTAGGTGTATTTATGGGTCGTATTTTGTTTTATAGATAATGGATCCAATTGAAGAACAACGATTACGTACAATTCAACGAGAATATTTAGATTTTCTTGATGATGGAGTAAGAAGACAAAAAAAAATCCTTTTGAATTTTTAATAATGATTTTATTTGTAGGAAGATGAAGGTGTTTATCAAGATAAATTAAAAATGTTAATTGCAAATGATGAATCACGTTTAATTGCAAATATTAATGATTTACGTCGAAAAAATCCACGACGAACAAAAGCGTAAGAGAATAAAAATAATTCTTTTTTAAACAAAACTTTTGTTTTTATTTAGTTTACAAGAAAATGCTTTTGAAGAATTAATGTGTTTTCAACGTGCATTACGAGAACTTATATCAGCAACGGATGCAATCTATGCTAAACAATTTGAAGAATTTTTTGTTGGACTTGAAGGAAGGTTTGTAGAATTAATTGAAATTATTCGTATTCTCAATCACAATATTTTGTTTTTATAGCTTTGGTGGTTTTCATTTATCACCACGTACCATTAATTCTTCATATATTGGAAAAATTGTTTGTGTTGAAGGCATTGTTAATAAATGTAAGTGTAGGGAAGTTCGTTGATGAATGTTATAATTGTTTTATTTTTAGGTTCATTAATTCGACCAAAAGTAATTCGTAGTGTTCATTTTTGTCCAACAACAAAGAAGTTTATGGAACGTCGCTATGCTGATATGACATCAATGGAAGCATTTCCAACATCTTCAGTTTATCCAACAAAAGTAGAAACATAAATTTTTTTTTTGTTTTTTTTATTCATAATTGATTGATAGGATGAAGATGGAAATCTATTAGAAACCGAATATGGTCTATCGAGTTATAAAGATCATCAAACATTTGTTATACAAGAAATTCCAGAAAAAGCTCCAACAGGTCAATTACCACGTTCAATTGATGTTATTGCTGATGCTGATCTTGTTGATCAATGCAAGGTTTGTATTGAATTTTCTATTCTTTCTTTTGTCTATAATGTATTATTTGAAATTGAATTTTAGCCTGGTGATCGTGTACAAGTTGTTGGAGTATATCGTTGTTTACCTGGTAAAAAAGGTGGCTTTACAAATGTATCATTTAAGTATGTAAAATATCTTTTTTTCTTTTGTATTTAAATAATATGATATGTATATATAGAACGGTTTTAATTGCAAATAATATTCGATTAATGAGCAAAGAAATGGAACCGAAAGTATCCATTAATGATTTGAAAAAAATTCGTTCATTCAGTCGTCAACGTAATATGGTATGAATTTGAATAAATAATTAGTATATATAATTGATTATATTTTGTAGGATGTTTTTGAAACATTAGCACGTTCTATAGCTCCATCTATTTATGGTCATGAATATATAAAACGAGCAATTTTATGTATGTTATTAGGTGGTACTGAAAAAGTCCTTGCAAATGGTACACGTCTTCGAGGGTTTGTTATTTATTTTATTTTGAAATAATTTAATACATATTAATAATATTTGTAGTGATATTAATATTTTATTAATTGGAGATCCATCCGTTGCTAAATCTCAATTACTTCGTTATGTTTTACATACTGCTCCACGTGCTATTCCAACTACTGGTCGTGGTTCATCAGGTGTAGGTTTAACAGCTGCAGTTACATCCGATGCTGAAACAGGTGATCGTCGTCTTGAAGCTGGTGCTATGGTTTTAGCTGATCGAGGCATTGTCTGCATTGATGAATTTGATAAAATGTCAGATATTGATCGAACAGCTATTCATGAAGTTATGGAACAAGGTCGAGTAACTATAGCTAAAGCTGGTATACATGCTCAATTAAATGCACGATGTAGTGTACTTGCTGCTGCTAATCCTGTTTATGGACGTGTATGTTTTATATCTTTAGAAAAAATTAGATTTTTTTCTTATTGATTCTTCTATTTTGTAGTATGATCAATATAAAACTCCAATGGAAAATATTGGTTTACAAGATTCACTTTTATCTCGTTTCGATCTTATATTTGTTATTCTTGATAATTGTGATATGGAACACGATAATATTATTGCTGATCATGTTCTTCGTATGCATCGTTATCGACCAGCAAATGAAGCTGATGGTGAAGTTCTTCCATTTGCATCGGAAGTTGATGCATTAACAACTGAAAATGCTAATGATGCTGA